TTTTTTTAAATAATTATTTATTTATTCATTCATTTATTTTAATTTGACCAGAGAGATAGAGAGAGGAAGAAGCAGTGAGAAGGCAAGCCACCAGATCCAGGAGTTGAACCGTGGTGGGCCATGTGGGAATGTCCAGCACCTTAACTACCACGCCATCTACTGGTCCCATTACTTGTTTTAGTTTTGCCAAAGGGCACGTGCACTCACTGGAGAGAGACAGAGAGAAAAAGTGAGAGAGCACTTCCCCACCTGGGGCATCGCCACGCTGCAGTCCTTTCTCCTCCGTTTCCTCCCTTTCAGGAACTTGGGCATGCACGGTTCGAGCTGCCAGTCCAGGACTCAAACCATGCAGTACGCCATATGGAATCCAGCCACTTTAACCACCACGCCACCTGGTGGCCCCTCTCCCAGTCCAACCATGAATGTGATACGGTTTGTAGTTTTTAACATTTATTTTTTAAAAGCAGGCTTTTTGAATGCTTTATGCCCAGTTTAGTTTACATTGTTTGTTTCTGATGTTCAAATTTGCAAATGACATCAAAAGCCAAGGTCCAGCTGTGTAGCACACGCTGGTAGATGCTGGTGCTTGGCAGGTTGAGGTCACACGGGAGTCCTGGCTTCGGTTCCTGACCCTCCCTAAAAGCTGGGCTTTGGGGTGCATACCTGTGCCCTCAACGACTCAACTATTTGGAGGGTGAGGCAGCAGAACTGTAGTACAACAAGACTCACCTTAAAATATATGTAAATAGGGAGCCAGCAGTGGGGTGGTGGTTGAGGTGCTAGACTCCCACATAGCTGACTACCGTTTGAGTGCTAAGCCTGGAAGCCTGAAAATCACACGAGGCACGTGTGCATAGGTGCCCAGAAATCCCAAGAGAAGAACGGAGGAGAAAGGACTGTGGCACGTCCATTTCCCTAGAGGGTGATCTCTCACTTTCTCACTTTTTTTTCTTTCTGTCTCTCTCTCTCTCCCCTGCAAGAGCATACACCCTATGGCAAAAACCTTTTAAAAAAGTGTATATCGGGAACCAGCAGTTAGCATAATGGCTATGTCGCTGAACTCCCATGTAGTCAACCGCGGTTCGCGTCCCAGACCCAGTGGCTTAAAGCTCACGCCGGGCGTATGTGCATACATGCCCAAGATCCCAAGAGGAGAATGGAGGAGAAGGGATTGCAGCGTGACCATCCCCCCTGGGGGGTGATTTTTCGCTTTCTGTCTCTATGTCTCTCTCTGTCTGTCTGGTGAGCGCATGCGCCCTATAGCGAAAATCTCTCCAAAAAAAAAGTGTATATCTATATCGATATAGATATCGATATAGATATACACACACATATATATATATATATATCCGAAAGGAAAATTAGATTTCAAAAAACAAATTAGGCTAAGATTGCACACAAATGGTTTTGATCATTGGAGAGTGGGTATGGAAACTTTCAAATCTATGTTTACAATAAAGAAGTCAGATCCATTTTTAATAAAATATGGATAAAAAGTCCCTTAGACTTTCAGGGTTCCCACAAATTTGGTATTGGACCTGATTTCATTTTGTAGCATTTATTGGAGTCAACAAATATATAAGTCAAGACGTTCTCATTCCTAAGCAATATTTAAATAGAACAACTATTAAAGGGACTAGCAGGTGGTGTGGTGGTTAAGATGTTGGATTCCCAAATGGCTGACTGTGGTTCAAGTCCCAGACTTGGCAGCTTGAAAATCATTCCAGGTGCATGTGTGTGCCCAAAATCCCAAGAGGAAAATGGAGAAGGATTGCGGCCTGGTCCCCCCTCAACCCCGGTGGGTGAGTTCTCACTTTCTCTCTCACTGTCTTTGGTGAGTACACTCACTCTATGACAAAAATCTTTAAAAAAAAATCAACGACTGTAGAATCCTCTATTCCAAAGAGGTCTTTGGCAGCATTTGGCATCTTAAAATAACAACTACACTTTGGCTAAGGAAAGGAAAACAAGAAGGATGATTAGAAGGGTGAGGGAGAATGGATGCAATGGGGGGAAACCCAGTGATTAGGAAAGGAAGCCACTGTGAGTGGTCATGATGGTACCCCACTGCACAGACTCACCCTTGTAAACGAGGGGGTCTTCAAAAAGTTCATAGAAATACATAGTATGAAAAAACTCTGCATAGATTTCAAAACATTTCTGTATGAAAACAACTCATAATTTAATTTTTTTATTGCCAGAAGGCACATGCACTTGCCAGGGACTGAGGGGACACAGAGAGAGAAAGAGAGAGAGAGAGAGAGAGAGAGAGAGAGAAGAGAAAAGGGGGAGAGTGAGAAAGCAAGATGCTATGTCCAGGACTGGAACCATGGTCGGTCATGTGGGAGCCCAGTCCTTAACGACCATACCACCTGCTGGGCCCCAGCTCTGACTTTTTATTTTAATTGTCAAAGGGCATGTGTCCTTGCCAGAGAGAAAGAGAGAGAGGGAGAGAGAGAGGGGGGAGAGAGAGAGAGGGAGAGAGAGAGAAGGATAAAGAACCTTCCCAGTGGGGGGTGGCCACACCACTGTCCCTTCTCCATTTCTTCAACTTGTTGGGATTCTGGGCATGCACGCACATATGCCTGGTGTGTTTTCAGGATGCTGGGGCTGGGATTTAAACTGTGGTTGGCCATGTGGGACCCAGCTCCCCTGACATCTAGGCTGTGGTGCCGACCCTAAAGATTCCAATAGATTTCCGTCTTCTATGAATGACACAGACAGAGAGAGAAAGAGAGAGCCAGCGCCCACAGCAGGGGCTTGCCTTCACGATCCACTCCAGCCTCAGCCAGCCCCATCATGGGCACACATATACCCAGCACACTCAGGGAGGTCTTTAGATGAGAACCAAGAACAGTCCCGTGTGGGCCAGCCTCAGAGGGTGCTGGGTCACTGCTGCATTGCCATCTGGCCCTCTTTAATTTCATTTTCCCACAAACACTTTGAAGACCCCTTATACATTTTTAGAAAGTAAAAAGCGATATCTGTTGAGTATCTTCACTCTCTCTCCATTTCACTAGAAGAACAGAGCACACCTATCCCACTTCCTTTGTGGGATGAGTGGCCTCCAGCCTGTCAGAAGAGGGGTGCTGGCTTTAGGTCCACAACATTAGCACTTACTTGCTGCATGGGGGGCGAGTGTAAGGCAGACTGGACCTGCATGGGGAGCTGGTTCCCAATGGGCTGCTGCATGGCGAGCGGCTGGTGTTGCTGCATGTTGAGATGCTGGTGAAGAGGTGGGCTGATCTGGAGGGGAGGAGGGGGTGACACAGCCATGTTGGCTATAGAGACAGTCACTGGCATTTGGTTATTCGGCTTGGGTGCTATGTTCCTGGGGAGACTAGGATGCATGGCAGTGAGGTGAGGGTTCATTCCCGGTTGCTGGTGGTAGTGGGAACTCAGGTACAGTGCTGAGTGAGCCTGGCTGGGCCCATGGAACACCGACGGCTTGGAATTGATCAGCTGGGGCGGTTGAGATGTCTTAACGTCCACAGGTTCACTGTAGCTCTGTTGAAGACACAAAAGGGCAGAGCTGAGAGACTGACAGACATGAGCATTCATTCTAAGAGCGAGACACTTTGCGAGTTTATTCATACACTTTCCTGTGCATCAACACCTACTGCAGGAGGCTCCCTTATCCATGGGGGTACATGCCCAGACCCCCAGGGGATCGTCTTCTATGAAATCTAAAACAATCCAGGATGACTTTCTTTTTTTCTCAGCCTAAATGCTAAGCTCTAAATCCGTGACTTTTCTCATTATCCAAACATTGACACAAAGATGTAGAGTAAGACAGAAACCACCATGGCCCTAATGAGAAATACAAGTGTAGCTCTCTTAGAAAGTAATTCAGTTCTGGAGTTTTCTATTGATTATTGTGTAGTATTTTATTTTTCCTTTTTATATTCTCCCAGAGTCTTGGCCTAGATAACGGTACAAAGAAACCAAGCTGTTGAGGGAAATGGATATGGGAGAAAAAGAATTCTAAAAATACCTTTCCGAAGTCATACAAAACCATGGGGTTATGTCATCAAGTAGCCACAGAACTCATCTTGATTCGTTGAGAAAGAAGTGGGTGATGAATTGCCCCCCATAATGAAGTAGCTAAAAATGATCTCTTAGAAATTTTAGATTCCATCGTAAGTTAATGTAATATTACCCTAATTTTTCCCCACCATCATATGATCATTTTCTAATAATCTTTTAATTAAATGAAAAATTAGACATTTCAGTGGAAGCTGCAAAGAATCAAGAGTTAACCTTAAGGGGACCAGCAGTTAGCATAACGGCTATGTTGCTGAACTCCCATGTAGCTGACCGCGGTTCAAGTCTCGGACCCAGTGGCTTAAACTCATGCCGGGCGCGTGTGCGTGTGTGCCTAAGATCCCAAGAGGAGAATGGAGGAGAAGGGATTGTGGCGTGCCACCTCTCCTGGGGGGTGATTTCTCACTTTCTGTCTCTCTCTCTCTGTCTTTCTGGCGAGTTCATGCACCCTATAGCAAAAACCTCTTCAAAAAAAAAAAAAGAATTAACCTTAAGGGGTTCGTTACCTCTTAGGCATGAACCTACCTCCTATTTTGCTGAGAGGAAGAGACTAATATAACGAATGATGAAAGGGGAAACCAACTGAAGGGGGAAAGAAACCAAACCACTAAAACGCTTTTCTGAATAGTCACTGTTCTCTTTTTTTTTAGACAGGATCTTCCTGCCTCATCTCCTGAATAGCTGGGACCGTGAGTATCACCACACCCTGACTATTCTTTTTCTTTTCTTTTCTTTTTTTTTACTATAGGGCGTGTGCGCTCACCAGACAGAGATAGAGAGACAGAAAGCGAGAAATCACCTCCCAGGGGGGATGGTCATGCCGCAATCCCTTCTCCTCCATTCTCCTCTCGGGATCTTGGGCACTCATGCACACGCGCCCAGCATGAGTTCTAAGCCACCGGGTCCGGGACATGAACCGCGGTAGACTATGTGGGAGTCCAAACATAGACATTACGTTAACTGCTGGTTCCCACCCTGACTATTCTTTAGGCAAAGTCTTGCTGTGTTGTCTAGGCCAAATGGTGAGTTTGGGAACCTCCTGCCTCAGTTCCCCCAGTTACTGGCATTACAGGTGTGCCCCATGCCTAGCCTTCAGGTTGGACAGGGAATTGAACCCAGGCTTCCCTTGCGCTCCAAGTTAAAGAGCACTGTCTTAGCTATGTGTGCCAGTGCAGTTGGGCCTGAAATCCCGAAAGCCATTGTGTCAAAATGAAGTCTTGAGGATGTATACATGACATCTCGGGCCTTGATGTCATGCTTATTCAGTGAATGAATCAAAGTGCATTTCTTATTACTCTCAGGACTGCCAGGCACAAAGTGTCTCTGAGGGCCTCCCCTGCACAGGCCACCCCATGGGCTACTGACCGTAGGCACTGAAGAGAAGCGGTTCCTCGTACATGGTGAAATGAACTGAAACCAGGCAGCTTCACTGTCACAAGCCAGCCTCTAATACCACTAGCAACACGACTCATGTGTCCCCAGCAGTGTAGGAAAATGAAATGCAAACCGTAAGAGCAATACGGGAGGGTCAGGCTGGGGTGGAGGGACTATCAGCCACACACACTGCTTCAGTAGAAGGGACGCATCTGACATCCACAAAAATATGCCTGCCGTGGAAATCTGGAGCCCAGTGAGTCTGAACATTCTCTACACAGGGCTTACGGTGAGGTGCACCCCCAAATCTCGGCCCTCACTGTGCCATTTTCTGCTATATTAATATCGATGCAGCTTTCTGAAATGGGAGTACGTGTTGAGACTCTCCCTTTCCTGTACTAATATTAAAAGTGTTAAAATTGAGCTGGCTCGGTGCCATCATGGGAGTGCCCTGCTGAGACGATGCTGGGCCCACTGGGAAGAGCTCGGGTTCAGTTCCCCATCGTCCTGCACAAGCTGGGAGCACACACATGACCCCAACTGGCAGGGAAGGCTGCGGGGGATCATGGCCCGAGACCCTGGTGAGGGTCTCTCCTTCTCTGTTTCCTACAATGAAAGAATCTTTAAAAATGTTAGAAGTTGTCCATAAAAAATATTCTAAGAGGAAGCTTTAGATCAAAGAAGCTTTATTAGATGTACTTCCTAAAAAAGTGTTTTCAATAAAAACAAAAACAGGCAAAAGTTTTAAGTAGATTGCTTTTTGCTTTCATTCCTTCTTAAGTTTTTATTGTTCATACACAAAATAGTTAACAATTCAAAGAAAAGATCAAATGGATTGTTTTGCTTCTGGTTACATAAACAGTGGCTACTTCTACACCAGAAAAACATGTACTGCACTTGATATGCCTCAAAAACCATCCCATCTGTGTCAAGATTATGTGTTTGTTCTGTGTCTTCTGTGTCGGGGAAGCTGTCTTAATTGTGTTTAGATTTTTTTTCTTTCAGGTTATTTTAATTTTTTTTTTCTTAGAGGGAGATTTTTGCTATTTTAAAACCTTATTTATTTATTTATTTTTGAGAGAGATTTTTGCAAAGGCACATGCACTTGCTGGAGAGACAAAGAGACAGGAAGTGAGAAATCACCTCCCCCAGGGACAGGGCCACACCACAATCCCTTCTCCATTCTCCTCTCAGGATGATTTTGGACTTGCACATACACACACACACACACACACACACACATACACAAACACACACAAACACACACACACACATGCCTGGCGTAAGTTTCAAGCCACTGGGTCCGGGACTCGAACAGTGGTCAACCCTGTGGGAGTTCAGCAATGTAACCATTACACCACCTGCTGGCTCCAGATTTTCTCCTTTTAGGTTATTACAGAAGAGCTAATTTCATGTTGTGTCACTGACTGTCTATTCCATACCAGAAAGAAATTATAACTATAAAATTAATGCATGTTGGTGCATCTTAATTATTTTCTTTAAGGCTATTGTTTTTAATAAAAAAGAATACTAATCACTCACATTTACCGTACTCGCAAAACAATGAAATACATGTAACTATAATTTTTAGTTTTTTGGCTTTTGCTGTTAGGTACGTGTCCTTACCAGAGAGAGACAGAGAGAGATGATAAGAGGGAAAGTGTGAAATCACCCCCAGAGGTATGGCCACACTGCAGTCCCTTCTCCTCCATTCTCCGGGGGTTGGGGGCATGTATACACACATGCCTGGTGTGATTTTCAAGTTGCCAGGCCCAGACCTCCAGCCACAGTTGGCCACTTGGAAGTCCAGCACCTTACCTACTATGCCACATGCTGGCCCCAAATAGTTTTAGTTTCTATTTCTATATACCCTCATACTAGATAGCAAAGGGAAATCCAAATAGACAATGGGGCCGATTTTCCTGAGTTCACGTTTTAAATAATAGTATGTGGACCATCATACAGATGAATGATTAACTGACAGAGAGAGAGAGATTTTTAGAAACAGATAGCAACCTAATTTGAGACACTTTATTGCCAACCTTACAAAAGCTCTCTTTTCTCATGGATAATTAAACACAAAACATTTTCTCTATCCAGCTATTTATTTGTCATTTATCTTCTCCAACCAAAGCATATAAAGGCCAGTTCCACGAAAGCTATTCCGAAATAGCAGCAACTTTTAATCATTAGAAGACCTACTGGCAAATTCGAATAGATTTTAAAAAGTAATGATTCAGACAACACACGAAACATAATTTTAACATAGAGGGAGGGACCATTATGGGAAGTTATATTTTTTCTGTCCACTTTCTAAATTGTTGAATGAGTCAAGATACATAGCATGACTAGCTATGTGCCAATACATGGCTGGCACTCCAAGGATGTCCTGAATGATCAAGGATGGGATTTTTTTTTTTAAAAGAATTACTTATTTAGTTTTACTGATCATCATTTTTATGATATTTTTTATTTGCTACAGGGCATATGTGCTTACCAGAGACAGACAGGGCAAGAGAAAGAGAAAATTTTGGAAAGAGAAAGAGAAAATTAGAAAGCAAGCCACCAGGTCCAAGATTCAAACCATGGTCAGCCATGCGGGAGTCCAACGCCTTAACCACCACACCACTGCTGGCCCCAGGATGGACTCTTTTGTAGAGTAGAAACAAGTCTCAGATTCCAGGCACTTAGCACAGTAGAAAAAACATAAAGAATGCAACGTGTTTGTTGAATGAATACATGACTGTTCTTGAGCAATACTCCTTGCACTGAGTGTTGCCTTCTGAGAGCTCCTGACAAAACACATCATTCCTGTAAGGAGTGAGGAAGGACGTGCGGGTGTGGGAAATCTACAGAATATCAGACCTTCTTCCGCACTCTCCTCTGCTCTCACCATGAACCAGACCCTTCCTGAGGCAAGGAGCACTACAGCCCTTAGCTCTGTGCTTTGGTTAGCCACACCGCCCTGTGGGCCTCACTGGCCTTGGGTCCATGGTGGCAGAGGGAGCCTGTGTTTCTCAGCCATACTTTGAGAATTTGTAACTTTATGAATAGATCTACTCTCTCAGAGGGGAAAGACCTGTTTCTAG